TATATTTTATCTCAATTTTAATATAAAAATTTTAATTTTATAGGTTAAGCGAAGCTGATTTTTAGTCAAGTTTTTCAAATATTTTTTTCAAAAGAAACTTCAACCGATCATTCTTCTTTGTCCAGACTTGGTTTAAAGTATTTGTACAGTAAACAATTGATGGTAGTGAAGAGCAAAAGTAAAAGCTGAGCTGCTACCTCTGCCTGTGTCGGAGGTCCCATCCCTTGCAGATGGCGTACCAATTTGTCTCTGCAAAAGTCCTGCATTCAGAATTGGAATTTCCATTCTGATGCAATTCATTTCTTTCCAAGCCTGGCCTACTCAGAATTTGGAGTTTTGTTGGTTAACAGCCACGTGCTATAACAGAGGGCAACAAATTCATAACCATAATCGCACTGGAGAAAACTTTTACCGAGGTGACCCCTCAGAGTTATCGGTATGGTTGTTTTCCTTTTTTCTGGTGAACAAGTTGTTGGTATGTACGAATGGTTAACGGGGGAACATTAGAATGACAGATAAATGAGGTGTAAGTTTTTTTAAAGAGGGTCATTGGTACATATTAATGGTACCTGAAAAATAGGAAAAGGGATGTCACGGAGTTGGGACATGTAACTAGTGATTGTAGCAAGTAAGTGGGAACGTGGGGATCAGGCATCCTTAAAAAAACAAAGAGAGGATAAATGGAGTAACAGAAGGATTAAGTAAAACTAATCTGAAATTTTATGTGCAGATTCAGCTTAAAATATCTCTAAGGCATTTCAACAACCAACTGACGGGCACCAAAATAAGATAATAGGCGAAAGCTATCGTACCATTTGATCAAGTATTGATAATTAGTATAATTAGTAAAATTTAATCAAGTAATTGTAAAATTAAAAAATTAACAGATAAATAATAAGTAGATAAAGATAAATAACTCCACTAAAAGTAAAGTAAAATCTGAGCTATATCTGTAGGAACAGCTGGAGGAAAAGAAAAATCAATGCCACTCGTGATCAACAAAATAATGCATCCGGAGGTTCCACTTTCTTGGAGGTATTCGTTCCCAGTCACATGGGAGAACAGAATAAAATCAATTCATGATCTTGCATGGGAGAACGCTTTCTTTAAAGTAACTGCTCAGAGTAAGTGGCCTGTATGAATGGTCTATAGTGGGGAACAGCAAAATTGACAGACTAATCTCTTAAAAATACGTGCAGTCTTGACAACACATAAAGTTAGATTTTTTGGAGTGTTGCTAGATGTTGGAGTACAGGATTGATATGGTAGAAATATGAATCGATACCAACGAGGGGTTGGATCAAGTGGTAAGCGATTTATTTCAGCTTAAGTAAGGTCTCGAATTTGAGTTCTTGTGTATGCAGCAGCTCTCGTTGGGAGATTCACCCACTATTTTTAGGTGCGCGATGCGGGTCAGATTCAGATTAATCGGGGTGAAACTCCGGATACCGAACGAAAAAAAAAAAAAAAAAGAAGAATTGATAGAGATGGAGTAATGACAATAGATTTTTTGAACTGAAGTTAAAAAGACTAATGACAATAGATCGGAGAAGTGAATTCCGAAAATGTAAATGACACCATTCACCCACTCCACTTCTTCATAAATATATAATTAGCGTGGGTTGATTTTTCACTCTTCCTATCTCTTATTATCATCATATTAATAATTAATTTATTAAGATTTATGATACCTCTAATTAATTTTAATATGTTAATACTCCATCCAACTTTTTAGGAATGCATCTTATATATTTTAACTAGTGAAAAGAAATCTCGATATATATATAAATATTTTGAATAAGGTGTAATTTGCAAGTATAATTCAAACACCTATCAAGTAGTCAATAAATTAAAACTTTAAATAAATCTGTAATTCTATCAAATTAATCACAAATTACAAGACAATTAGTATTTAAGATCAATTTTAACTCAATTAGTAATCTTAATATCTAAAATGTTTGAAGGGAGAGTAATAGTATTCTCTAAGGTAGGA